ACACAGACTGGCTGGGCGACTTTGCTTTCGGTGTGGACATATTGGGGCATCTGAACGATCTAAATGTGAACTGTATTCCAACGTAAAAGCATTAAAGACCAAACTTATGTTGTTCTCCAGACAAATGAGCAGCCTGTCTCTCGCTCATTTTCCAACACTGGCCGCACTGCCGCACTGAGACATACAGGAGCACTTTGATCGACCTGCATGCTGAGTTTTCCTGCCGCTTCTCAGACTTTACCAAGATTGAGACTGAGCTGGAGCTTGTATCATGCACCCTGTCTTTCGACAGCCAGAAAGCACCACCAGACACATAATTGGAGCTAATCGACATCCAATGTGACAGTGCTTTGAAGGAGAAGTACAAAACAGCAACAATAGAGCAGTTCTATGGCTCACTGAATGAAACAAAGTTTCCAAACATTAAAAAGCACGCCCAAAGGATGCTTGTTTTATTCGGGTCCACATATGTGTGTGAACAAACGTTCTCAGTCATGAATTACAACAAATCCCGTCACAGGTCAAATTTAACAAATTACCACTTGTCAGCTGTTCTGAGAATCTCTACATCAAAGATGACACCAGAATTTGATGCCCTTGCCAAGAAAGGTGACCAGACCCATTGTTCACATTAAGACTCGAATAACCGTGACTGGGGTAGGCAAGGATTATGCTTTTTCATGGTGACGGTTATGCAGTGAGAATTATCCAGCAATGCACCTGGATACAGGTAATAACTAATCAGTCAGATTTGGACTGAGTTGATTGGATAACTGTAAATATGGCTCACAATGGAGAGGAGAATTGTTCCTTAATATGCTTTCAAAAACAGACCATTCCAAATGAAACGGACGCTCTTACCATGTTTCACTCAAAGTTTAGAATCGTTTTTTTTTTTACCCATCTGCTGTTACATTTTGCATGTCTCCAGTCATATAAAATATATTTAGAAGTTTGCATATTGTGACTGTAAAGTTTGATTGTTCTTTACAAGGGTAGAGATGCAGGATCTCTGTGTGTGTTTGTGTCTGTGATGTTATAAATTATATCCATTTTGTGAAAAATGTGTTCACGAAAAACAAGGGTAGAATTGTTCTGCAAGCATATGTAAACCTACAGTACACTAGTAGTTGCGAATCAATGTGAAAATGAATAAAGGCTTCACATGTTTTGTCACGCATATAGTATGTGGCCCTTCACTTGGTTTCAAAAACTCAATGTGGCCCTTGAGCCAAAAGGTTTGCCCACCCCTGGTGTAGGGGCTAATTAGACCCTCAACCCACTTTGACCGAGCCAGCAAGACTGCAGAGCAACGCCCTATCCTGACACACACTGCGATGTTCGGAGTTGCCGCAATTTCATACAAATGAATGGAGAGGCGTGCGTAATTATAAACCACGTGCACTTGTTTCTGATTTTGAGACTTCACACATGTAACATATGAAATACCTCCCAAATTAAATGTTTAACTGTTCGTTTTAAATGTTGTAAAACTGGGATTTTGTTCATTTGAATTTCATACTTGTTTTATTTAAAAGTAGAAAATTAATTGCATAATTCAAGCCAGGAGTGTGCCCCTAAATTGATGGTTTATTGATCCCCTCGCCTCTCTGGAAGTCACCCTCTGAGTTGTCAGCAACACGTGACAACGGAGGACCCCCTTGAGCGACTTGCTAGGAGCGAGGGGTGGTTTAGGATTCACAGATTGAAAGTCAATACCTGTATGTATGTACAGTTGAAGTCAGAAGTTTACACACACTTAGGTTGGAGTCATTAAAACTTGTTTTTCAACCACTCCACTAATTTCTTGTTAACTATAGTTTTGACAAGTCGGTTAGGACATCTACTTTGTTTTAATGACTCCAACCTAAGTGTATGTAAACTACCGACTTCAACTGTATATATGTACACTACTGTTCAAAAGTTTGGGGTCACTTAGAAATGTCCTTGTTTTCCATGAAAATATACATGAAATTAGTTTGAATAGGAAATATAGCAAAATGAATAGGAAATGTAGTCATTGACAAGGTTAGAAATAATGATTTTTTTATTGAAATAGTAAGTGTGTCCTTCAAACTTTGCTTTCGTCAAAGAATCCTCCATTTGCAGCAATTACAGCCTTGCAGACCTTTGGCATTCTAGTTGTCAATTTGTTGAGGTAATCTTAAGAGATTTCACCCCATGCTTCCTGAAGCACCTCCCACAAGTTGGATTGGCTTGATGGGCACTTCTTATGTACCATACAGTCAAGCTGCTCCCACAACAGCTCAATAGGGTTGAGAGTCAGTGACTGTGCTTGCAACTTCATTATAGACAGAATACCAGCTGACTGCTTCTTCCCTAAATAGTTATTGCATAGTTTGGAGCTGTGCTTTGTGTCATTGTCCTGTTGTAGGAAATTGGCTCCAATCAAGCGCTGTCCACAGGGTATGGCATGGTGTTGCAAAAAAGTGAGCCTTCCTTCTTCAAGATCCCTTTTACCCTGTACAAATCTCCCACTTTACCACCACCAAAGCACCCCCAGACCATCACATTGCCTCCACCATGCTTGACAGATGGCATCAAGCACTCCTCCAGCATCTTTTCATTTGGTCTGCGTCTCACAAATGTTATTCTTTGTGATCCTTACACCTCAAACTCCGATTCATCTGTCCATAACACTTTTTTTTTCCAATCTTCCTCTGTCCAGTGTCTGTGTTCTTTTTCCCATCTTAATCTTTTATTTTTCTTTGCTACTCTGCCTAGAAGATCAGCATCCCGGAGTCGCCTCTTCACTGTTGATGTTGAGACTGGTGTTTTGCGGGTACTATTTAATGAAGCTGCCAGTTGAGGACCTGTGAGGCGTCTGTTTCTCAAACTAGACACTAATGTATTTGTCCTCTTGCTCAGTTGTGCAACGGGGCCTCCCACTCCTCTTTCTATTCTGGTTAGAGCCAGTTTGCGCTGTTTTGTGAAGGGAGTAGTACACAGCATTGTACGAGATTTTCATTTTCTTGGCAATTTCTCGCATGGAATAGCCTTCATTTCTCAGAACAAGAATAGACTGACGCGTTTCAGAAGAAAGTTCTTTGTTTCTGGCCATTTTGAGCCTGTAATCGAACCCACAATTGCTGATGCTCCAGATACTCAACTAGTCTCAAGAAGGCCAGTTTTATTGCTTCTTTAATCAGCACAACAGTTTTCAGCTGTGCGAACATAATAGCAAAAGGGTTTTCTAATGATCAATTAGCCTTTTAAAATGATAAACTTGGATTAGCAAACACAACATGCCATTGGAACACAGGACTGATGGTTGCTGATAATGGGCCTCTGTACGCCTATGTAGATATTCCATTAAATCAGCCGTTTCCAGCTACTATAGCCATTTACAACATTAACAAGGTCTACACTGTATTTCTGATCAATTTAATGTTATTTTAATGGACAAAAACATTGCATTTGACCCCAAACTTTTGAACGGTAGTGCATACACACACACACACAACCTATGGTCAGTACTGAACATGTTTACTGTCAGCTTTTTGTACATTTAATTGAAATCAATCCAATAAACTAAATCTCCTTTTATCCAAATTAATGCATCATTACTAGGACCAGGAGTTCATCCTTGCCATTTAACTGAGCCCTAATCATCATAACTACAGTATAATAATTTGCATTATAGAAAGGCTCATGACCATTTTCAGTATTGCCTTTATTCTTTCAATTATGGGCTTGTGGCGCAGTCCGTTAAATAATCAATTAAGTTGTAAATTTCAGGACGCCGACATCTTTAGAAATACGTTTAATAGTTTGACATACAAAACGTAAACTCGTTCATTTCACTCAATTTTAAGACAGCAAAATAACGCTAAAAAAAGCATGACCAACATAGAAGTAAAAGGACACAGAAAAGACAGGTGGGTCGTTCCACGAAACAAATGACTTTTGCATCCCTTTGATATTTTAAAGTAGAAATTGTTCCCCAAATCTTGAATTTTAAAAGCATGTTAAATTAAAATGAAGTGCCCTTTAATATAGGGCACATGGAATATTTTATATGAATAAAGACTTGCTAAAGTGCCAATACGCAGCATTTTGACATCTCTCTAGAAGTCAGAGGATGCACAGAGGGACATTTTTACCAACATTTCAAGTTTACCATCTTTATAAAGCCCTAATTACTGTTGCTTTGACAGTAATTTCCCAAAGATTTATTTAATGTAATTAGTGATTAATTAAAGATGTATCCCTCATTTTAAGGTCAACCCTGTTACGTGAACCGAACTATCGTTTTTATATGGTGAAGCTAAAAAAAGGTGCACTATGCAGAAATAGCTCCGCATTTCGTGGTTGCTAAAACTCTAATAGTTTGCCTAATTTCAGTTGTGACAAAACAAGCAATGTATAGTGTAGAGAATCATTTTACCATCTAAACCGCTGTGAAATATCTTTCAATAACCAAAAATATTGTATATCCAGTTAAGCTGGTGTACAAAACCCAAAGTAAAAGACTCAAAAACAAAACTTAACAGGTAACATAAATGACAGTACAGATCTACCGCTTCTTTGACTTTCTTTTTTAATGACATATCTATAACACTGCTAAATGGCATATTATTTATTATTATAACACATTTGTGAATTTGGTCAGGTCCATTATTGCAGCTTTAAAAAATATATATATATATATCAAAATAAACATTGACCATCTAAAAGGTCAAATCATGGTGTAAAAGCAGGTGAGTTGGTTCTACTATTTCTGATGTTTTGTGGTGGAAAACTGAGCGGGTGGAGCATAACACATCAACCGTGTAACCCATAGAGGGGCTAGAAATGTTGACTTTTTTTGCATTCATTGTCACTCACTGTTGCACATAAGGTTCCATTCACCCTGTCACAACAGGATTCATGGTAAACTTAAGATGAGATTGGAAAACGTTTTATTAAGTTGAACGTGTTTCGACAGAATGTTAAAATTTTGAAATAAAGTTCCTATCAAGTTACACAAGTCAAAAACGGCACCTAAATTGGTGGAACGACCCAGGTAAAAGATTAATACAAAATAGTTAAGAAATGTAAAGGACAGTCAAGTTCTACTAGTTCTGACACCTGAGTGGTAATTTGGACCTGAGCGGCGTTGCCTGAGATTCATTTTCTGTCATCTTGGAACGATTGAGGGCTTTGTTTTCCTTCTTGCCGGCCTTCTTTTTCTGAAAGGAGAGAAAACAAAACATTACAAAATCAAACAATGCCACCTATAGCTGGGCCTGGGAGCGAGAGCTGAAACCGTACTTAACCATACAGAAACACTGGGGTAACCTTACCTTGAAGAACGGCACTCTTCCGTTCTCGTAGCACATGAGGTTTTCGTCGTTGTAAGACGGCTCAGTGACATCGTCGTTGTAGCTGCTCACCTCGTCCTCCAGAGAGTCCTATGGCAATATAGAGGTCTTAGCTAAAATCTACTCTGTACACTCTTTGAACGTCACCCTTTTCATTGTCATTACATGTCATACAGTGAGGGAAAAAAAAAGTATTTGATCCCCTGCTGATTTTGTACGTTTGCCCACTGACAAAGAAATGATCAATCTATAATTTTAAATGGTAGGTTTATTTGAACAGTGAGAGACAAAATAACAAAAAATCCAGAAAAACGCATTTCAAAAATGTTAAATTGATTTGCATTTTAATGAGGGAAATAAGTATTTGACACCCTCTCAGAAAGATTTCTGGCTCCCAGGTGTCTTTTATACAGGTAACGAGCTGAGATTAGGAGCACACTCTTAAAGGGAGCGCTCCTAATCTCAGCTTGTTACCTGTATAAAAGACACCTGTCCACAGAAGCAATCAATCAGATTCCAAACTCTCCGCCATGGCCAAGACCAAAGAGCTCTCCAAGGATGTCAGGGACAAGATTGTAGACCTACACAAGGCTGGAATGGGCTACAAGACCATCACCAAGCAGCTTGGTGAGAAGGTGACAACAGTTGGTGAAATTATTCGCAAATGGAAGAAACACAAAAGAACTGTCAATCTCCCTCGGCCTGGGGCTCCATCCAAGATCTCACCTCGTGGAGTTGCAATGATCATAAGAACTGAGGAATCAGCCCAGAACTACACGGGAGGATCTTGTCAATGATCTCAAGGTAGCTGGGTCCATAGTCACCAAGAAAACAATTGGTAACAGTACACCGTGAAGGACTGAAATCCTGCAGCGCCCGCAAGGTCCCCCTGCTCAAGAAAGCACATACAGGGCCATCTGAAGTTTGCCAATGAACATCTGAATGATTCAGAGGAGAACTGCGTGAAAGTTTTGTGGTCAGATGAGACCAAAATCGAGCTCTTTGGCATCAACTCAACTCGCCGTGTTTGGAGGAGGAGGAATGCTGCCTATGACCCCAAGAACACCATCAAACATGGAGGTGGAAACATTATGCTTTGGGGGTGTTCTGCTGCTAAGGGGACAGGACAACTTCATAGCATCAAAAGGACGATGGACGGGGCCATATACCGTCAAATCTTGGGTGAGAACCTCCTTCCCTCAGCCAGGGAATTGAAAATGGGTCGTGGATGGGTATTCCAGCAAGACAATGACCCAAAACACATGGCCAAGGCAACAAAGGAGTGGCTCAAGAAGAAGCACATTAAGGTCCTGGAGTGGCCTAGCCAGTCTCCAGACCTTAATCCCATAGAAAATCTGTGGAGGGAGCTGAAGGTTCGTGTTCCCAAACGTCAACCTCGAAACCTTAATGACTTGGAGAAGATCTGCAAAGAGGAGTGGAACAAAATCCCTCCTGAGGTGTGCAAACCTGGTGGCCAACTACAAGAAACAACAAGGGTTTTGCCACCAAGTACTAAATCATGTTTTGCAGAGGGGTCAAATACTTATTTCCCTCATTAAAATGCAAATCAATTTATAACATTTGACATGCGTTTTCCTGGATTCTTTTGTTGTTATTCTGTCTCTCACGGTTCAAATAAACCTACCATTAAAATTATAGACTGATCATGTCTTTGTCAGTGGGCAAACGTACAAAATCAGCAGGGGATCAAATACTTTTTCCCCCCCTCACTGTACATGCTGAACAGTCAAGATCAGTCAGTTCATAGAGTCATTGTGTACAGTTCACTTAATGTAATTATGTCAATGTAAGCTGCCATACTGCCCCAAACCCACATGACCCAAACAGGAAATACTGGGCTCTAATTTCCTGAAGTGTACCTGATCAACCTGCTTCTCCTCCTCCTCCTCCACTGTGTCACACTGCAACAGGGCTGTCTGCAGCACCTCCTGCTGGTGGCGGAGGCTCTCCAGCAGTTCTGCTCGGTTCTTCGACTTGGCTAGGAGACGTGGGTACACAAACTCCCTCCTTTGAGGAGTTGCACCTGCCAGAACAAATGAAGGAAACATGACAGGTCAGTAACTGGGACAAAGATATGTACAAAATAAAAGCCAGTTTAACATTATATCCGTGTCAAGCTCACCAGTTGGGACATCCTGTATGAGCTCCTCACTGAGGAAGCTGTGGACGCGGGCCAGGCCATCCTCCAGGTGGGCCTTGAGTTCTGTCTGGTGGTATTCCAGGGTGTTCTGGTCCAGTGACAACTGCTCCTTCATGGACCCCAGACCCTCCTCCACTGTCCCCTGCTGCTGCTTCAGCTGCCCACTCATCTCCTGGACCCTCCCCTCACAGCTCTGCGCCACACTCTGATTCACACCACAGAGAAACACCGGTCAGGATTTCAGTTATGAGGATTACCGACATGTAAGAAGCTGCTCAGGGATTTCAAAGCTAACCAAGACCTAAGACCTTTTAGTACTCCATTTCATATAACACCACCAAGTACCCATTTGAGGTAAAACGGCACAACAATATCCACGTGTATAGTTTACCGTTAGCAGGGTCTGAGTGGAGGCGGTTTGGTCTCTGATCAGGGTGAGCTGAGCATGGGCCTGGGAGTCAGTGCCGTCCTTGGTGGAGGCACACCACTGCAGACTCTTCTCACTCAGCTGGGTCAGAGAGCTGTGCAGGTGGCTGCTGTAGGCGGAGCACTCCTCCACCGTGCGCTGAGCCTCCTGGGCAGTCTGCTGGACCTCAGAGATCAGGCTGGCGGTAGTAGACTCTAGACGCTCCTTTTGGGTGGCGGTCTGGTTCTCAGATTCCCTGCATCTCCTGGAGAAGGGCAGCAAAGTTAGAGGCTCTGCCCTGGAAAACATCTCAGGTGAAAAATAATAACATGCAGATTCAAATGGACAAAGCCAATGCTATGGACAGATAAATCATTAGATGTCAATGGCCCAGTTAAGACAGCCCAGTTTCACTTACGTTTGAAGGGTCTGCTGAAGGGACTGAACAGGGACCTGCAGGGCATCGGAGGCACTCATCAGGCCGGCATAGTTATTCTGGGTCTCCATGGCCAGGAGGCTGAGCTGGTTCTGCAGACACTGGATAACCTGGGTCATGCCCTGTATGACCAGAAACAGAGGGGATGTCACAATGTCAGATAACAAGTGTGCTTTTCTGACCATACAGCCTTGACAGTGAGAATGACAGGAGTTCTTCATCAACATCCAGATGACTAGCAGGGACTGGACCAATGGCTTCAAAGCAGAGTAGACACCACTGCAAGAGCAACACTATTGTACATCTCAAGATGTAGTATTACTTTGACATATCTTGTTTTTTCAGATCATTGCAGAGGGTGATAAGAGAAAACACATTAGACCAGGGGTGTCAAACTAATTTTGCCCCGGGGGCCGCATTCGGTCTTCAATGAGGCATTGAAAATGTGTTAAATTTCCTCGCAGGCAAAACTTGCAAAAGATTGTCCTCTAGCAATAGTTTTTGGAATTTCATGCTCCCCGACTGTCTAGGTTTCATTTGTGGTGGTTATTAGCGAACTGGACAGTGAAAAAACTGAACGTACAGTTGAAGTTGGAATTTTACATACACAGGTTGGAGTCATTAAAACTCATTTTTCAACCACTCCACAAATTTCTTAACTATAGGTTTTGGTAAGTTGGTTAGGACATCTACTTTGTGCATGACACAAGTACTTTTTCCAACAATTATTTACAGACAGAGTGAAATCTATCACAATTCCAGTGGATAAGAAGTTTACATGCACTAAGTTGACTGTGCCTTTAAACAGCTTGGAAAATTCCAGAAAATGTCATGGCTTTAGAAGCTTCTGATAGGCTAATTGACAATTTGAGTCAATTGGAGGTGTACCTGTGGATGTATTTCAAGGCCTACCTTCAAACTCAGTGCCTCTTTCCTTGACATCATGGGAAAATCAAAAGAAATCAGCCAAGACCTCAGAAAAAAAGTTGTAGACCTCCACAAGTCTGGTTCACCCTTGGGAGTAATTTCCAAACGCCTGAAGGTACCACGTTCATCTGTACAAACAATAGTACGCAAGTATAAACACCATGGGACCACGCAGCCGTCATACCGCTCAGGAAGGAGACGTGTTCTGTCTCCTAGAGATGAACGTACTTTGGTGTGAAAAGTGCAAATCAATCCCAGAACAGCAGCAAAGGACCTTGTGAAGATGCTGGAGGAAACAGGTACAAAAGTATCTATGTCCACAGTAAAACGAGTCCTATATCGACATAACCTGAAAGGCCGCTCATCAAGGAAGAAGCCACTGCTCCAAAACCGCCATAAAAAAACCAGACTACGGTTTGCAACTGCACATGGGGACAAATATCTTACTTTTTGGAGAAATGTCCTCTGGTCTGATGAAACAAAAATAGAACTGTTTGGCCATAACGACCATCGTTATGTTTGGAGGAAAAAGGGGAAGCCTTGCAAGCCGAAGAACACCATCCCAACCGTGAAGAACGGGGGTGGCAGCATCATGCTGTGGGGGTGCTTTGCTGCAGGAGGGACTGGTGCACTTCACAAAATAGATGGCATCATGAGGAAGGACAATTATGTGGAGATATTGAAGCAACATCTCAAGACATCAGTCAGGAAGTTAAAGCTTGGTCGCAAATGGGTCTTCCAAATGGACAATGGCCCCAAGCATACTTCCAAAGTTGTGGCAAAATGGCTTAAGGACAACAAAGTCACGGTATTGGAGTGGCCATCAAAGCCCTGACCTCAATCCTACAGAACATTTGTGGACAGAACTGAAAAAGTGTGTGCGAGCAAGTAGGCCTGAAAACCTGACTCAGTTACACCAACTCTGTCAGGAGGAATGGGCCAAAATTCACCCAATTTATTGTGGGAAGCTACCCGAAACGTTTGACCCAAGTTAAACAATTTAAAAGGCAATGCTACCAAATACTAATTGAGTGTATGTAAACTTCTGACCCACTGGGAATGTGATAAAAAATTAAAGCTGAAATAAATCACTCTCCTATTATTCTGACATTTCACATTCTTAAAATACTAACTGACCTAAGAAGGAATTTTTACTAGGATTAAATGTCAGGAATTGTGAAAAACTGAGTTTAAATGTATGTAAACTTCCAACTTCAACTGTAGGCCCATTATTTCGACACAGTTTCGATTTGGTTTTAGTCATTTTAAAGTATATAGAGTTATTTTCCCTCGGCATGCAGGCCGTATGTTTGACACCCCTGCTTTAAACTAGACTACTCCAAGTCCTTACCGTATGGTGCTCCTTGTCTGCTCTGCTGATCTGTTCCTTCAGGTTGTCGTGCTCAGTCTTTAGGGAGCCAAGACCTTCTGTTGCAGTCTCCCTCAGTGCAGCCAGGTCCTGGGCATGGCCACTAAAGAACGACGTCATCTCCACCTTCATGGACTCCATCTTGGGAAAAGGAATGCATTCATGAAGTTGTCCATTGTCCAACATGCATACTCAAAAGTATTTTGAGAACAGTATTATGCATCATTTCAGCCAGCTTCCTTTACCTTAGCTGCCACGGCATGGTGGGTCTCCAGTGTCTTCCTCAGGCTGTCATTCATGTTCATGATAGCACTGAGACCAGGCAACACCTGGGCTACCAGGACCACCTCAAGCTCCAGCTTATGCTGCTCCTGTTAACCCAGGATTGTATTTATCATGAAACCTCTCATCTCTATTCATACAGATTTGTGCACAAAAAAAAAGCCGGGAGAGATGGAAGACAATAGAGATGGCTTCATTTCTGTCCTTACCAAAACCTGGTGCAGACTGTTTTTAGCCTCCACACACAGCGTCTCCTGCTCCATCATCTTAGCCTGACACTTGGTCATGCCATCAGCTACCAGGTCTTTGATGCTGCAGAAGGACGTGGCTACAGTAGCCATGGCTCCTTTGAAAGCTGTGTCGTTGACTGTGAGAAGACCCTCTGAGCGGGGAGTAAAAGACATTCAATTAGATATCAAATTCTATTATGCGCTCATATCACTCAAACTACCGGTCCATTTCAAGCTGCTCACCAACTGAGGTTTTGTATGAGTCCAGCATGCTCTGGTGCTTGCTGCGCTGGTCTTCCACAGAGTTCTGCATCTGGCTGAACATAGCATCCATGCGGTCGGCGAAACTCATCTGGATCTCAGAGTTGTGCTCCTCAACCTTTTTCTTCCTCTCCAGTTTGGCATGCAGGCCAGACACGTCTTTGGTGCTCTCATCAACAGTTGTCAGCAACTGGGAAAACGTTAAATCATAACTAAATCAAGTCATTATACAGTACATTCTCAAAAACATCATTTTAGTAGACGCCCTTATCCAGAGCGACTTACAGTAGTGAGTGCAGACATTTTCATACTTTTTCCTAATTGGTTGTAATGATGTCACCCTAACCTTGTCTGCAGTGGTGTACAGTTTCTCCTCAGTGGAGGCCAGCTCAGACACTATAAACTCCTCCTCAGTGAGCTTCTGCTTGGTCTCTTGCAGGTCCTTGTGAGTCTCATGCAGCTTCTGGTTCTTCTCCTCTAGGTCATTTGTGCACTGGTCCAGCTTCTCCTTGCTATCCTCAAACAGCTCTGTAACCTGGGAAGGAGGGACAGTTACACATGTTTTTTGATGAGTCAAGTGGAGCTGGTAACCATGGTGCTGCTCATCCAAAAACAGGAAGTAAAATATGAGAGTACTTTTGAAATATGCTTACCCTCTTCACTTCCTCCTCCACTGCTGCAATCTTGTCAGTATATTCTGTTATATGCTCCTCTTGGGAAGATATCGCAGCTGCCATGCTCCTGGGGGGGATAAATTAAAATCTCCTATACTTTCACCTTTTGAAGTGATTCAGACTTTAGAAATAACATTTGACTCTTACACAATATTTTTGTGTTGTACAATGGGCACTTACTCATAGTTCTCAGACGACAGATACACTCCATTCTTGTCACGGGTGGCAGCCAAATCCCGTTTCAGACGCTCAATTTCCTCTGTGTATTCCTGATGATTAAATTCAATATTTTTCAGTCCAGACCTTTTACCACAAAATACACATGCATAAAGTAAAAAGAGCATGCATACTCCAAAATTGAGAGGTTTTGTTCAGTGCTTATATATATATACACATACCTTGATAAGAGTTCTCTTGGTCAACTTCTGGTTCACCTCAGGCTTGTTCATGATGTTCTTGGCCCGGTTGGCATAATCCAGTGTGCTCAGAGTTTCCTGGCGATTTCATGAAACAAAAAGTTAACAGAGTATTGAGTTATTGATACAATTAAGTATTAAACTAGACATTGGTGCCAAGAGACAATAACAAAGCCAGACACACCTCCAAATTGATGGAGGCTGGAGAAACTGTGGCAATGATGGAGGTCTTGGTGCGGCCTCCCAGTGAGTCCTGTAGGATGCGGGTGAGTTTGGACTCCCTGTAGGGGACGTGTGGCCTCTTCTCCACCAGTGCAGTGATAACCCTGCCCAGCGTCAGCAGAGACTGGTTGATGTTGCCAGCCTCGCGCGCCCGCTTGTCCACAGCCCCCGAGCGGCCGATGTTCTCACTGCCAGCAAGGTCCACCTACAAGGTACGGGTCACATTAGCTAGAATTCCTGATGGTCATCACAAGCAGGTGCACATACAGCAGGTCAAATTTGTTATCCGTCTTTGTATGTCACTGGTAGAGGATGTGTGACGATGGTATTTGTAGGCAATACCAGTTAACCATACCAAGTTCAGTTTTCCAATCTTGACCAGTTCCTCTCCATCAACGGTGATCTCCTTCATATGAATCGTGACGGAGAACACTGAGTGAGAGCGGCTGAAAAAAAAGAGGGGGGGGGGGCAGATCAATAAACCAATAATCAACAATTCAAACACGAACACCCTGTGCTTTAGTATGAGACAAGTGCAGATGGTCAGACATGCAGGTTTACCTGGAGTATGCATTCATGAGAGTGGAGGCAGTCTTTCTCTTGGCAGATCCACGCTCCAGAATCTGGTAAACCTCATTTTTGTTGTGTACTGTGATTTCCTCCAGGCCCTTGATGATAACACCCCTCTGGTGGACAGAAATGATATTTAACCCTCAAAAGCAGGTTTTAATATGACCATTAGATTTTAAGAACATCACCCTGGAGGAACAGCAGTGACTTGTTGACAGACACTTGTGTGATTCAACCCATTAGGAACATACATAAATGTGAGACTGGTTAGTACCTTGTTACGTGGATCATCAAACAACTGAAGTCGTTCAGTGACGTCGGGAAAAGGGCTCAGCAGGTCAAACAGCTCTTCATTGTAGATCTCCAGCAAGGAAACCTTGACAGAAAACTCTGTCCCATTGTCAGACAGCTTCTCAAATATCTGATGAAGTGTCCGGGGAATGATACCAGCAAGAGGATCCTGAAAGAGTCCATTCAAATCACAAATATTGAAAACTATAATAAAAACATAAGTTAATTGACAGATATGACACAAGTTATGTTATACCTCTTCCCATGTAAATTCTTCATTTGGAGATCTTTCTCCTTCCATTGTAAAAGTCTTTCCTGTTCCCGTTTGGCCATAGCTACATGACAAAGAGAAAGAAACCGTTTAGGGAAAAATCATGTATAAAACAGACAACCGCCTTCAGTAGCCGATGTCAGCTTCAAATGGCTAAATGTAACCTTGTGGTTATGCCACTTAATCCCTACTTAGCTAGTACTTACGCAAAAACTGTACAATTGTATCCGCCTATCACTTCATCCAAAATAGGGCAGACAACACTTTTGTACACGTCGATTTGTTTGGCAGCTGGACCAAACACCTGAGGGATTGATAACATGTAAATTGCACATTAGGAACAGATGACCTTGCAACCCAAGTATAGGTGTTAGCTCATTTTAGACCAAGAACGTTACATTAGTTACCATATCAAAGGTGTACGTTTTCCTAGCTGCCTTATCGCCAATCCCTCCCGTTCGCACATTGATCTCTTTTCGATTTTCAACTGTATCAATGACTCCATGGGAGGCAGACTTGCGTTCCGCGTTGTTGAAGGGTCTGAAGAGGCATGGGCAGAGAAGTTAGCTAGACAACATTAGGCTAGTTAGCTATTGTTACTGTGACACCATCGGCACTGATGTTCTTGTCCATTTAGTTAGTAAGTTAATTAGCTAACGTCAGTTATGATCAAGTTGATTTTAGTCCCAAACTCCCAACTGGTTTCATACAAATCACGTTTAGCTTACCTGCATCTCACAACGACTTGAATATTTCTCCCCTTCTCATCCTTTTTTGCGACATTGAACGAGTTGTGCGTAGACATGTTTGCAGAACACTCCAAATACTGCAAACAACTGTAACACACAAATAGTTTCCCCAATTTAAAAACATAACGTTACCCTTACTCTGACTAGTCAGCTAACATTAGCTAGCTAGCTAGCGTTAACCAAGTTAACTGGCTAACTAGAAAGTTAGCTACCGTTAGCTAATATTGTGATATACAACAACAAAAACTCGAGCAACCAAAAAAAATGTCCTTACCAAGTGATTAAGTCTATCCGCTATTGTTTCTCTTGAACAATTATCTTGTAGATAGCTAAACAAAGGTAGCTACTTTAGAACAAATATGACTGCCGTCACCGCTGGCGCTCTACCGTTTTTCAAACACAACTTTAAATGTTCTTCATCCGAGATGTACAGCCAATGGCTTAAGCGGAATTTCTTAAACGCAATTTTATTGGCAGTCTGAGGTCACATGAAAAATGGAGGCGTGATGCATCACGGGAATTGAGCTTTACATTGGAGCACATATCCACTTGATGGCGCTAATGTGCTTTCTATGGTATGCCCCAAAAAATTATCCTGGCTTGGCTTCATGTGTGGTCCTCTGTAGCTCAGCTGGTAGAGCACGGCGCTTGTAACACCAGGGTAGTGGGTTCGATCCCCGGGACCACCCATACACAAAAATGTATGCACACATGACTGTAAGTCGCTTTGGATAAAAGCGTCTGCTAAATGGCATATTATTATTATTATGTGTGATTCAAGGTAAAATACATTTACATGACAAACACTTCATGGAAAGTCAATGGATCCTGTCATTTTATTTTCTCCCCACATTTTGTTAATTTTTGCATTCACATTTACCACCATCATTACATTTTACGGAATACAGGAATAGTCAGTCATATTAATAAAATAAAAACATCTTAGTCAGTTCTTTATAGTCACTTATATGGCTGTTCATTTTGTGGAATTAATCCTGTGGAAAATGCCAACATCTATTAAAGGTCGAATGCAACTGTTTTTATCTGAATATCAAATCATTTCTGGTTAACAATGAAGTACCTTACTGTGATTGTTTTCAATTAAAAGATTCAAAAAGAAACAAAAATTGCTTCTTAGCAAAGAGCCATTTTTCAAGCAAGAATTTTGCTAGGACTGTCTGGGAGTGGTCTGAGTGGGGAGGGGAAAACTGAAAACTAGCTGTTATTGGCAGAGAGGCTTGGAACTCTCTTTCTTAACTAATTCACTGCCTGGTGAAAACTCCATCCCACCAAAACAGGCTGAAATTTCAGGCAGTGTTTTCAAACAGCTCTTACATTGAAAGGGCATTATCATAATTTTCACAATTTCACAGTATTATTCCAACCTCATAGTATGGCAAATATATATCAAACACAGAAAAATCACGGTTTTGACTGCACTGGGCTTTTAAATACATAATTTCCTAGGCCTAATAGCCAATGGGAGTAGCATGCATGCTATATACTATTTTCCAATCTAGCCTAAAAGACAAATCTTGTGTCAGCTAATAATGTAGTCTTATAGTATCTATTCATCAGTTCATCAATCACCCTACAGACTTGAAGCTGAACAAACAGCACAGAATCAATTTATGTTAACTCCGTGGCTTCTGACCACTACTTGATTGACTGGTGGAGGGAATCTGTGTGAAACTCATTTTGACACCCAGCTCATTATCTCAATATTTTCTGCCCTCATAGAAACATAATATGAGGCATTTGAGGAACACACTTCCATCCAGTGCCAATTTACTTGAATGGACATTTAGTAGGTCGTCATACAGATATCATATTGTCGTAGATGAACAATGGTTTGTGTTTGAGTTTTGCATTTGTGTTTGTGTTTGAGATTTGCACTGGACTGGTAAGTGCACTGGTGAATACAATAGCTTACTCTCTGTGATTAATTCATGCATCAAACAGCAGCAAGAAAATAACACATCCTTCTGTGCTTGCTCAAGAATATACTAACAACTGAGTTTTTCTTAAATTGGTCATGTCTGACTATTGAAATACAATATGATTATGAATAATAGATAACATAGATTAGAAAACCCAAATTAAAGAACAGGGGACATGATATATAGGGCATGTTGATATAATTGTTTCCAATAAACAATTGTTCCAGTATTTCATCATGTTTTCCCAAGATAAACTAAAACAACTAGCAGTGAGTCAATGAAGTGCTGCCATTCACCTCTATCGGCAGATTATTTTCTTTATTTGCCAAGGAAGATCTATTCTACCTCTACTCTTTGTCTCATATTTTATGACATGACATCACACATCAACCTTGCAGAGCACAGTCATCCATCTCCTTGTGGGCATCTACCCACTCATCCTAGTAGGGAGGGGGGTTATCCCCCTGTGTGCCTCTCTCTCTCTCTCTCTCTCTCTCTCTCTCTCTCTCTCTCTCTCTCTCTCTTTCTCTCTCTCTCTCTCTCTCGCTCTCTCTCTCTCTCTCGCTCTCTCTCTCTCTCTCTCTCTCTCTCTCTCTCTCTCTCTCTCTCTCTCTCTCTCTCTCTCTCTCTCTCTCACACACATACACACACACACACACACACGGACACACACAATTTCCCTACCCCGGACACACACAATTTCCCTACCCCAGTGTGATTATTCAGCAATTATAAAGCACTTTCAAAAACATTCTGAACCTGTGTTTTTGAACGGTGGTAGAAAAGGGTGACTAATTTCAGTCCTCAATAGCCACACACAGTCCACTGATTCCCTCACTTTTAGAACAAGAATAAACAACTTATCTAGGTAATCAAAAGGGCAAAAACAAATAAAAGCACATTGCATGTATCTTCTGTGTTTTCCCTATTCAAAATCACATAGGCACCTGATGGAGGATATGTAGAGAATGAGGGTATATCAGTAAATTAACTCATAGGCTACAATGTAGCTCATCCGAAATTTGAGGAATCTAAAACTGTGTTCTTTGGAAATGAATTCTTCATAGATGGTCGTTGGGTCTCTGAGATAACCCTCTCCTGGAGTTTCATCGGCGTGAGAGCAGCTGTCACCCAGGCCACGCCCCAGGCATGGGGTTTGAGTGACCCAAACACCTCCGATTCCTCCGATCAAAGAGACCTTTTCTATTACAATCTGCTGGGTCTAACAAATCCACTTCATTATCATAACAATTTTAACTGCGAGGGTGGAAGCAAAGTGAAGTGGGAACAATTCTATTGTTTCTTTTTCCATCACTCTCTCTGAAAAAGAAGCATTATATGACCTACTCCATTGGAGGAGTAAGAATCTAGCGGGTAACTTTGGTTGATCAGACGTTAGGGGACTGCCATAGCAGAAGCATTTCTCTCTCTATCTGAGGCCCTGCTATCACTGTCTCGGGGCCCTGAAGGAGGAGACATACCAGTATCTTTATTATATTCCAGGTAAGCAATCCAGGGGCTGTTTCATGTGTGTGTGTGCTTTTCTCTTTGTCCCCTGCTGTTTTCTTGAACATGCAGAAATCTTAGGGCCAGTTTCCACAGACACAGCATGCCTTTAAGTCCAAGACTAGGCTCAATCTGTGTCTGGGAAACCGGCCCATAGTTACAGTATTGTTGTTTTGAGCTTGTAAAAAATATGTAGAATAGATCACTAAATACACGTTTACTGTAATTAAAACCTTTACAATATAGCCCCAATATGTAAACTGTTAGGTGTTAAATTATATAAACTTTACAATATGTACCCAATATGTAAACTGTTAGGTATGAAAAGATTTTAACCGTTACAGTATTTACCCAATATATAAACTGTTGGGCATGAAATGATTGAAACCTTTACAGTATATCCCCAATATGTAAACTGTTAGGTATGAAATGAAGGTAGTATGATCAATGTATTTAGGGAAATAGAAGAGTAGGATCTATTACAAATACAACTCACTCTTGACGAAGCACAGTATGTCACTGTACACACACACTACCTCTAACGAGTGCCACTGTGTATTGGTAGGCTGCTACTAGGCTATAATTTGGACGTTGTATCTTATTGCTGCTCAAAATACTACATTTACATTTTAGTCATTTAGACAAGCAATCAGGCCTCAATTTCACAATAGAGGGTTTTGAAAGTAAGCGTAAAAGTAAGTGATGTACAATACAGTACTATTAATTATTGATGCTGTAGTGTAAAGTCACTCTTACAACTGCTGTTTGTGATTTGAAAGATGTCTAAGATTCAAGTCAGGGGTGATTTAAACACATCTAGACATACATTCATCCCATTTGCAATAAGTGCATTTATGAATGAATATTCTCTGGTCTGTTTTTAATATATAAGAAAGCTTGCTGCAAACCTCAAACATGATATATTTGGCATGTATTACCTATTTGACAAAAAAACACAACACAATAACAAAGCAAAGCCTCCTATATCAGCCTAGTGTTAGAAAACAAAGATCCACATTAACAAAAACCACACATGACGTGATTAATCGTCATGCAGGGCTCTCCAGACCCCTAGGTGACACTGAGACATAGGCAACACAAAACGCCCCCCCTCTAAATCCCGCTCAATGTGGCGGAGCGTGGGCGAGGGGTGCAGGGAGGGCACCATTCCCCACGGAGGCACGCTGTGCAGCCTATCGGCCGGACACTGGACCTTGAAAAAAACCCATCTGCCTGAGGGAGGCGGCGTTCACACAATACACTAACATTTTTGGAACTGTGGGCGTTAAAAAGAGTACTTAAAAAGGGATTCCTTTTCCCCCCTGCAAGGGGAGAGGGGATAGGGAGGGAACACCGTTCCTAAACTTCTCACTAGTCATTCTTCTCTCTCTCTCTTCTCTCTCTCTCTCTCTTCTCCTCTCTCGCTCCTCTCTCTCTCTCTCTCTTCTCTCTCCATCTCTCTCGCTCCTCTTTCTTCTCTCTCCACTCTCTCTCTTCTCTCTCCTCTCTCTCTCTCTTCTTTCTCTCTTCTCTCTCTCTTCTCTCTCCTCTCTCTCTTCTCTCCTCTCTCTTCTCTCTTCTCATCTTATTTAAGTAGGTCTATCATGTTCAATTGGACAAGTGTTACAATTGTTGCTGGTGCTATAGGCAATATGAAAAAGACTATGGACAATTGTTTTTGTGTCTCCTATATTGTCATATGTGGTATAGCAAATTACATACATTAGCCTATAGTGGAATATGTGGAAAGTTTCCAGTCTTTTAAGGATTCCTACCTTCGGAAACAAATATGCCAATGCCTAGGGAGTATGATGTCATTAGGAACGTGTCAGACACACTTTGCATATTAAGACCAAAGATCATCTCCATTATCAGGAGACGGTGTCCCCTGTGACAGAATAGCAATTAGCTCTACTTGCGTGAGGAGCAGTCTCATTACCTGTGTGTCATAGTGGACATGCAGGCCTTGAGACAGTGTTTAAAGGGCTTCCCCTCGCTTTATCACTATCTACCACAGCCCTTGGATCAACAACCCTGTCACATGTAAGCCTACAGACATCAGCCAGGTGTCATTTACACCAACGGAGGACAGCTTGCTGAGAAGAGAGGAAGGGTTTGCTGTCCAAAGATGATCCCTTCAATACAGTGGGGTCTTGAGTAGGTGCAGAGATATGTCATACATATTTTCAGTCTATACATGTTGGCAACCCATAACTCACGATTCACAAATGATTAATAGCCTATCTAATGAACCTCCTATACACTGGCTACAAATGGGCCAACTTTAAATGGACAACTCTAAAAGGCTTTATAGAGCATCCATAAACTCCTCATGGGCATTACATAGATGATGCACAAATCATTGATAAACAGTCATACTACATAAAGGGTGCTATAGGCTAAAGCATATGCCTTATAAAGCATCCTGAAGCATATGCCTTATTTAAGGTTTATGAAGGCCTCATCATTGTGTTGTTTACCCTATATATGTATTTTTCAATAACAAAAAAACATGTATGTAGCTATAGCACTTCGATCAATTCAAGTTTCCATTTCTGCACAATGTTAGCCCAGACTATAAAAGGATATAGAATGACAAATGGCTATAAAATGATAAATTAATATACTTAATTGTTGTGTTATTTAACCAACTGATGCAACTTTCTTAAAGAACGCTCCACTCTAAAGCACTGTGCCAAACCTCCTCCGCGAAGTCGGTCGTCTCGTATGCCTCTGTGTGGGCTTCTTCCTTGGCACGACTCGATATTTCATGAACGCCAATTTACCGGATGCATTCCATATAAGTAAAAAGAGGGGTGTCGTCTATTAAACCGGATGAATCCATTTTTGGTGAAGCGTTACCGGAATTCCTGCAAGCTTTTGGCAGCATGCCGATTATTATTTTGACAATAAAATAGGACATATATGTGTTAATATTTACTAAACTGAAACAGGCTAACAACAACGATGCAAAAATAAAAGTAATTTTGGTTATGTATTTTTTTAATTCATTGACAAGTGTTCTTTGATGTCGTAATCAAGCCTGAGGCCCAATCCTAGCCCAACCTTTTCCATTTTTAACCACCAAGTCCTTGTATGGTCAGTGACGTTACGGGACATTCAGAGACTACCTTTAAATTCATATTACAGTATTGCATCCCCATAATATAACGAGATGAGATGATATTTCCCATGCATAGGGGACACTATATGCTATGGCAGAGAATACAGCATTATAACGTTTTTGACAGTTGAAGGTTATATATTGTGTGCGTAAAGGCATGAAGCGCACACTCCTGGTAAAAAAAATGACAGCTAAAACTATTGACAAAGTTTGCGTACCCACCAGTAGTTTTATACACGACATTCAAGAGGGAATCTATTCAATGGAAGAGGAAATATCCGCATCATTGCCAGAGACGGGAACTGGGTTAAAAATTGATTCATATTGGAAACAGCACGGCCATTTGGGTGAACCTGAGGGGGGTAAGAATTAATTTGATGTAAAGAATAATTATTATTTAGAAAATATTCATTTCTATTTTGCTGTTATAGCTAGTAGAAAGGAAGCAATATGTCCTCATCAACTTTACTAAGATTTTAGGATTTAAATTCATTATTAGTCATATTTGAGATTATCCTAAATTGAGGATAATCCATATTATTGGTTAATATTAATCAAGTAGATGGTCTGCTATAGTAAGTCAATGTATTTTTTCTAAATCGTTATATGACTTGAAACCTCCTACATACCCATTACAAAACCACAAATTGGTGTGCAACCGCGCGTAAAACCCATGCGTTAAAGTAAAAACCCTTGGATAAAAGTAATATAATCAACGTTTTTTGGACACATAACTAACATTACTTTTCCTTTGCTTCGCAGGTGATCGTTTGAGTGAAGAAAAGGGCACCTTCGAGTTGTCTTTCCACGGCAACTTTACGCAGCCACCGCGCACTCAGGCTGTGGCATACACGGGGAAGTTCTCAATCAATTCCAGAGGTGTAGGAGGATACTGGAATCCCGGGGGTGTCATTAACGTAGCTAGTGCTGACATAAGGGCGGCAGCTTCATCCCCGGTGTCTGCCTTGCCCTCGCCTGACCCACCAAAGCTTTACGCAGGAACTGTGAGCTGCACCATGGCGCAGAGTCAACATGATATAAACCACATGTATGCCCCGCCGTCTTACTCTTGTAGCGGGGAAATGTACCAGGATCAATCAACCTACCTGGCAACCTCGACCTGCCCCATGTCCTATCCACAGCCATCATACTCCTCCTATACATCACCAAAGTCGACAGTGGACAGCGCGCTCTTAACCATCATGCCTGACTACAGCGGGTTCTACCAGCCAAACTGCCAACGAGACATCCAGGTATTTCCTGACAGGAAATCGTTACCATATTCACTGGACTCTCCGAGGGTTCCACCACCTCTGACACCTCTGAACACAATAAGGAATTTTACGCTTGGGGGACCTGCGACAGAGGGCCCTTGTCTACCCAATCCCTACAACACTCCGAATTTACCCCTAAGGCCAATATTGAGACCGAGAAAGTATCCAAACCTCCCGAGCAAAACGCCTGTCCATGAGCGACCATACCCTTGCCCGGCAGAGAGCTGCGATAGGAGGTTCTCCCGGTCAGACGAGCTGAGCAGACACGTCAGGATCCACACAGGGCACAAACCCTTCCAGTGTCGGATCTGCATGCGCAGTTTCAGTCGCAGTGACCACCTCACTACGCACATCCGGACACACACTGGAGAAAAACCCTTCTCCTGTGACCACTGTGGAAGAAAGTTTGCCAGGAGTGATGAAAGAAGGAGACACACGAAAATCCACTTAAGACAGAAAGAGAAAAAGTCATCATAATGACCCTGGCAGAATGGTTTTTAACATTCAGATAAATTATGTTTCCCTGCAGCACCAATTAATTAAATAATATCAAAATCAAACATTCACACTGATTTAGCAGACTTGGGTTAATTAGGGTGACTAATGAATATGGATATAAGGTGCTGAATGAATAACAACATAAATGGACAGAGCTATCACATTTATATTAGGTATAGAATCCATTTTTCATAACATAACTGTAAATGAGCAGAAACACAAGTGCTCAGTGTAGAAAGCGTTTCAATAGAGTAGGTGGGGAAACAGTCACAGAGATGCTCAATAGCAGGCAAGGAGCAAGACTCAGCTCCAACACTGAGGGGTATCAGCCAACAAGTAGCCTCGCTTTTGCCAGTGTTGAGAGACTTCCCACAATAGATGAGACCATGACGGGTATTCCTGCATTATAGCTGGGAAAGGAATGCCATGACCAGTTTCACAGAACTGAGTGGTCTGCCCAGGGGAGTGTATGTTCTGTATATTATCCTCACATCAGTTTTGAGAGTGGGGGGTTTGAGTCCCATTTGTGTAAAAACTGGAAGCTGAACTGCTTAAGTTTACTAATTTAAAAAAAAAATCTCCTGTTACTTGTTGGATGAAGACGAAAGTAAGATCTGTGTAAGATCATTGCAGAAAGTAACTAAGGGGAAATACGTTTATTTTACATGCGTCATTTTACGTGTTTTTATGCACTGAGCATTGTTCTTTAACTGACTTGATGCTTCTTGCAATAAATGTAGAATATGTTGTCATTGGTGACAAAGATAACTGCTTGTTTGTGTGTTTGTTCATTGTTTCACAAATGTATTCTTAAGCCTAATCCAAATTAAATAACTGGGCAAAGGACATGGCTTATTATTTAAACAACAATGAAATCCACTTTGTGTTGTAGTATATGTTTTTTTGTGTCTTATTTTGGTCGTTTGAAAGTAGGCTATAGGCTACTGTATAGGTAAAAGTTGATGCTGTAAAAACTCCAAACTGGACAGTACGCTCCTAGTCACATTGTCCTTCTGAGGTAATACTCAGTATGTCCACAAGAGGCCCCTTGGCCACAAGCAATGAATTAAATAGTGCTTTCCTAAAAGCACAGCACATTGAACCAAGTTCCCAAAATGATGAAGCAAGCAAGGTTATTACGGGGTTTAAGTTTAATCAGGGAAGCTCAATTAATGAAGGAATTTATAAGATGGTTATTCAGTAACCCATGTCCCATGGGACTAACTCAAACAATGTAGTTTGATCCAATCAAAACTTGCTTGTAGCAAATCATGTCTTTTGAAATGTTTAAGTGCTTGAACACCACCATTTAATCAGTGCATTCTTGAATCTACCTTTATGCTTTTATTTTGAGAAATATTATGTATGGTTTCAGTTCATTTCAAGACATGAAATGCTTATCAAGAATTTCAAATACATTAGAGATGATGTGCAAAGATCACAATTTATCAACTGTGTAAGTACTTTCATTAAGTCGCTTTGGATAAAAGCGTCTGCTAAATGGCATATTATTATTATTATTATTATTACAGGCAGAATGCATAGTCCAACTTAGGATAAGTGCATTTAGTTCACAAGACATGTTTTCCCGTTACACAGCACTGTGACACATCCCATTAATTAATCCATCATTGTAGGAATTATGATCATCATACATTTACACAATGTTTTGACATGGTCCTGAGAATCAAAGGTTCACAAATCAATTCAGCGTTCAAAGCTAGTGCGCTTCAGATGTTGACTTCTGGGCCGGGGTATGGTTCACCACCACACCAGAAATCAGAAGGTTGTGATACTTCCATCAGCCAAACTTCCTTTTGACCCTCAGCCTCACCCTTTTTGTCCCGAGAGTCCGAGGCAGACTGCAGAACTTTGTAATAATGACAGTCTCTCCCGTCGTCTGGATCATATGGGGGTGCCAGAATATCGAGGAAAGCTGTGGGTCCATCGACAGCATCGATTTGGTGAAGGTTGTTTCGGTCAGGGGTGAAGATACACGGTCCGTTCTCTTCTGTAAACTCCCCGACCGACCTGAGTATCGATCTCCTCAGCGCACCTCTCTGAAAAGGTAGCAGGGGAGGGTTGAATTGCGTATCACTGGCCACGCTAGTTGATTTGTCCAACCTGTCAAAACAGGTGATCCTGACCTTGCCATACATAACTTTCAACATTCCGTACATTCCCGGGTGGTCGTGCAAGGGAATGGAAGCACCGCTCTTTAACAGAAACACCCCCATGCTGAATTCGTCTGTCTCGCATATGTGCATGTATGTGACCGGGGGGTTGTGTGGCAAAGGCGTAGAAGCGCTGTCAACTTTCCTTGGAGCGATCTTCAGATCCGCAGCTCTGATTTCGGTCATGAGGCTTTGGAGTTTACATTGATTACCCAAAAACGCTTTATCACCTACTGAAGATGGGTTTCTAAAAGTTACAAACGCCTGTCTGGCCATTTTCTGAACGATGGAGGTCATGTTGTCTCGAGGCATGATAGCTAACTAGCCCCTGAAGCGCTGTACTGTAATTCTACACAAGTCTCGCGCTTGCTACCTAGCTAGCTTTAGCAGCAGGCTAGGGCTCCAAGCACAGCTGCCGTTGATTCTGCCTGCCTCTCTCTCCTTGATAATGATTGATTACGCCCAGTGAAATATATATTCCAACTTCACATTAAAATAACAAAATCAAGCAGAAAGTCGAATACAATTTCAAGTGACGGTACACAGCCTGGCACAACCTCAAATTTCTCTCCCATCACACCATTCATGGATACCTTTCACACACGTCCGCAAAGACAACGCTTCATACGTAACGCGGGGCATCATGGGAAATGAGGTTTAATAATGGACTGTATTAGTATTTATCTTCCCCCAAAACACATCATTATTAGATAAAAAATAATGCATATGAAATGTGTATGATATTTTTTATGATACTGTGTTCAATTACACGTCTTAAATAATATATAATTGTGAGAGATAATAATATTACTTACTTATGTACTACAATAACCAAAATACCATTCCTCACCTCCTTAAACAGGAAAAGCAGTGAGGTTGTTGACCTTCCTACATGAGTTTACTGATTCTGGACCATACAGAGCCACCAGCAGTGCCAGCCGTTTAGTATGAGTATGCCTACCATATAAGACTATAAACTCGTTTATTATTCTGTCAATGGAAAAAGCTAAGCAGCATTAGACTTTGAAAGAATGGTATAATTTTCTCTGAAAAATAAGAGGGTCTATTAATCTCATCCTGCAGCAAGCCCAATGTTGGTTAAGACAGCCTAATTGCCTCTAACAATTTGGCAACCAAAAAAATAATTCATGAATCATGTGTGATCTGTCATGGAAGCTATTTTCATGTCATCTAAAAAGAGTGACAGATGGTGTCACATTTGGTAATTGTTCCTCATCAGGTTGTTTTTCTGTTATTTTCCCCCAGAATTCTTGATCATTAGCACACACACACACACACACACACACACACACACACACACACACACACACACACACACACACACACACACACACACACACACACCCATGACAGCCAACTTTAAAATCTAAAAATAGGATACACTCATGTGTAGGAAATGAAACAAACGCCCCCGTCCATTCCCTTGTTCCTCTTCTTCTTGGCTCCCAGTTCAGTGTATTCCTGCTACAGATAATTTTATGCACAGCCTAACCACATTATAAATGGGTTTTGCACCCTTGATTAATTAGGTGGCTGCGTGGGTTCATGTGAGGTATCAACTCGATGGAAGCAGGTGGAAACTCTGGAGAGCTAAATTTAAAGCAAAGCTTACAAGAACCATAGCTAAAGCAAGAGGACTCTGTTCTGCCTCCTTACTTCCATTGTGGTGTTTCTGTCCAAACAACATAAGTATGATTTATATCAGCAAGAAGCTGTTTATTTGTGGCCTTGGTTTGCCAGCAAACCCCACACGCCACTTATATATTTATCACTGTGTCTTAGAAATTCTGCGAGAGCAGCAGTAGCATCTTTGAAAACAACATCAAGGTTCTGGGCCTGCAATGAGCTGTGGAGCACTCCATCACTCAAGGAGTCGGCTTGAATTGTTGTGAAACAGCAGTATGGCAATAGGGCATTGTTACAGTTAAATTACATAGGGCTATTTGGGGTTTGATCTTAAACGGATATCCACTGTGCTTTGGCAAGACAAGCCTATTTCCCCAAAAATTCTTCACATCGAATGCTACACTTGGCCAATAAACAGGATTTATTTTTTCCAGAATCACTCTCAAGGTCATGATGGATATAATGTGCTTGGGTCTCTCAAAGCAGAGTCATTGTGTGCTCTCCCGACACTCCTCTGGGTATTTGCAGGAAGCAGGGCTGTTGTACAGTCCCCACACATGCTATCTTATCCCTAAGGATCCATAAGGAGTGGCTAACGCCTAGCTAACACAGTCTTACAAACAACTTCTGCTTACAGCCCCAATCTTTGTTAGTGAACAGTTGATCCCAACTAGAGCATCATCAGTTGACAACATCAGTTTTCTGTCTACTTCTGTTACCACACTTTATATGGAACATATCAATTGTAGATATATCAGATAAATAAACAAAACTCATTGATGACAAAGTATTCTAGGGTGGGGGGGCAAAATCTTGTATGCACTATATTCTGTCAACACAGAAACATTTGAAAAACGCTATTGAACGCAAAAAAAAGAGTCATATTTGGCATCCCTGATTGTCTTTCTGATATTATTTCATGCTTAAGAATCTAGCCCACTGGTTTCATAAAGCCCCTTAATGTGTTTACACAGCTTCCAAGGAAAACAAAGGTTCTGGCCGGAGCCTTGGATCCAAGCTGGCCTTTCAGGGAGAAAAAGAGGAAGAGGGATAGAGAGAATGAGGCGGGGAGAAGAGTGAGCTTAGGCATTGGTTTGCAAGTGCAGGGCCTCCTGGCCCCCATCCACTAACAGCTCATCCTCTCTGCTTGTTTCCTCT